GGGTTTGAACCGCCAGCCTTCTGGTCAGCAGTCAAGTTCCTTAGGCACTATGCTACCAGAGCTCCTGTTCACTATTTAGAGGAGTTGAAAACTTTGATTTCCTAATACCATTTGGATGGTGATTCCACATTAACTAAAAACCTGAAGACACACATACTTTTATTGCAGCAATTTCACTTTTAAAAATGTAGATATATTTGAAGGTGTGTGCAAGTGCATATATACAAAGTTGTTAGTTGCAGCGTTGTTTACAACAGTAAACAACTGGAAACATACTAAAAGCCTGTAATTGGGAGCTCTGGTGGTGCAGTGGCTAAGACATTTGACTGCTAACCAGAAGGCTGGTGGGTTTGAACCACTCCTCGGAAGGAAGCCTGGGCAATCTACTTTCCTAAAGATACTGCCTTAGAATTATGGGAGTAGATAAATTGGTAACATTATGTCCATACAACAAAGTGCTATGCAGCCAGTGATTTGTTAGTCCTTTTAGCAGACCAAGGTACTCTTAGCATTCTCCAAAACCACAACTCAAAAGCATCATTTCTTTTTGGTCTTCTTTATTCATTATCCAGCTCTCACATGCATAAGAGGTGATTGAAAATACCAGGGTTGGGTTCGGCGCGTCTTAGTCTTCAAGGAGACATCTTTGCTCTTTAGCACTTGAAAGGGGTCTTTTGCAGCAGATTTACCCAATGCAATACCTCGTGTGATGTCTTGACTGCTGCTTCTGTTGCTGTTGATTGTAGAACCAACTAATGTGAAATCCTTGGCAACATCAGTCTTTTCTCCATACATCAGGAAGCTGTGTATTGGACCAGTTGTCCCTTCTTGATTTTGAGCCATGCAGTATCCCCTTGTTCTGTTCAAACGACAGCCTCCTGATCTATGTACAGGTTTCTCATGAGTAAAATAAAATGTTCCAGAATTCCTGTTCTTCTCAATGTTATGTATAATTTGTTATGATCTACACAATTGAATGCTTTTGCATAGTCAATAAAACATAAGTAAACATCTTTCTGGTATTCTTTACTTTCAACTAAGATCCATCTGACATCAGCAATGATATCCCTTGTTCCATGTCCTCTTCTGAATCCAGCTTGCATTTCTGGAAGCTCTCTGCTGCAACCATTTTTGAATTATCTTTAGCAAGATTTTACTTGCATATGATATGAATGATATGGTTTTATAATTTACACATTTTGTGGGATCAACTTTCTTTGGAATGTGTACAAATATGGATCTCTTCCAGTCAGTTGGCCAGGTAGCTATCTTCCAAATCTCTTGGCATAACTGAGTGAGTGCCTCCAGTAGGCATCCGTTTGTTGAAACATCCTAATGAGTATTTTGGGAGCTCTGGTAGCGTGCCTAAGGCACTTGACTGCTAAGCAGAAGGCTGGTGGTTCAAACCCATCAATCACTCCTCGGAAGGAAGATGGGGCAATCAACTTCCATAGAGATACTGCCTCGGAAACCCAAGGAAGGGTCACTATGAGTTGGGTCTGACTCGATGGCACATAACAACAACAATAAAACAATGAGTATTTTAAGGAGCTCTGGTAGTGTAGTGCCTAAGGCACTTGACTGCTAACCAGAAAGCTGGTGGTTCAAACCCACCAGCCATTCCTTGGAAGGAAGACTGGGCAATCTACTTCGGTAGTGATACTGCCTCAGAAACCCAAGGAGGGGTCGCTATGAGTCAAGTTTGACTTGACGGCACATAACAACAACAGCAATGAGTATTTCATCAATTCCTGGAGCCTTGTTTTTCACCAATTCCTTCAGTGCATGCAGCTTTGACTTCTTCTTTTAATACCATTGGTTCTTGATCATTGACACCTCCTGAAATGGATGAACAACGACCAATTCTTTTTGATATAGTGATTCTGTGTATTCCTTCCATCTTCTTTTGATGCTTCCTGCATCACTCAGTATTTTGCCCATAGAATCTTTCAATATTGCAACTTGAGGCTTAAGTTTTTTCCTCAGTTCTTTTAGCATGAGAAATGCTGAGTGTGTTCTTCCCTTTTGGTTTTCTAACTTCAAGTCTTTGCACATTTCATTATAGTAATTGGCTTTGTCTTCTTTAGCTGCTCTTTGAAATATTCTGTTCAGCTTTTAGTACTAAACATAGCCTTAGTACTGTTCAGCTCATGGTACTAAACACATATGTGGTAGTTATGTTTGTGTGTCAATTTGGCTGGGCCTGGTTGAGTGGCTGGGCAGCTAGTGGTAGTTATTCCCCATGATGAGACTGGCAATCAACTCCATGGTGGGATCTACCACAAGCATGCCTTTGGGATGTGGTCTGCTTCCTGTATATAAGGAGAAACCTTGGGAATGGTCCCTAGCTTACGGCACCTTGAACCCTGCATGTAGCTGTGTCATTGTTCAGCAGTCTGCCATGCTCTGTCAACCTTGGGACTTACAATGGACTTGAATTAATGGCTTGCCATGTGATTTGGTAATACTGGGACTGTGCCTTATTATTTGTTGACCTTGGGCTTGTTAGCCTCAACAGCCAGTAGCTGCCTGAGTGAAGAGATGCCTGTAGTGTCAGTGGCCCGGGAGCAAGAGATAGAGCTGAAGCCCAAGTTCGAGGGGCTTTCACACAGCTCCTAGAGCCCAGCATTTTGAACTTGGACTTAAAGCCTCCTGAACTGTAAGAGAATAAACTCCTGTTTGTTATGTGAGAGCATGAGATTATGTTTCTATATAACCACCACCCTGTATGTAACTATTTTGAGTAGGTAGCCATTTGGGCAAAAAGCCTTAGCACATACTTCATGCTTTAGTGCTTTAGTTACCGGAAAAACCACAAAGAGTCCTAACTACCTCATAGACAAAGAGCCCTAACTACCTCATCGATACTCTCAAACACACTCCTTGTTGTTGTTGTTGTTATTTGCCGTCAAGTCGGC